AGAATGGACTAATAGTTACCAAAGGAAAAGGGACTGGGGAGGATGGGTGGGAAGGGAGGGATAAGGGTGGGAAGAAAAGAAAGGGGGCATTACGATTAGCATGTATAGTGTTGTGGGGGCACGGGGAGGGCTGTGCAACACAGAGAAGAAAAGTAGTGATTTTACAGCATCTTACTATGTTGAAGGACAGTGACTGTGAACTTGGTGACAAGTAGTGATTTTACAGCATCTTACTATGTTGAAGGACAGTGACTGTGAACGGGGATGTGGGGGGGACTTGGTGAAGGGGGGAGCCTAGTAAACATAATGTCCTTCATGTAATTGTAGATTAATGATACCAAAATTAAAAAATTAAAAAAAAAAGGACTTCATTTGGTTTTTAATATTAGAAGACAGGATCAAATTCATGTGACTACAGTTACTTAATGTTCCATAAACTCAAGAATCATTTAAATAAGTATCTGATATTACCAGTGCTAACATTTGATGTGTACCACCAAATTAAAGCAGTTGTACTTAAAACTAATCTCTGGGATAAAAAGTTAAAATGTTTTCATTCAACTCATCCGTCTACCTAATATCATTTCATAGCCTCTGCAAAACTGTCAAAACTCCTATTAAGCTTCATTAACATTAAAACTTATCAATTATAATTACACTAAATGTGATCTCACTACAAATTTAAAGTGACAAGTTTTATTGGCCAGGTTTATTTAATTCACTTTTTTGTGAAAAGACTATAAAAATATTAAAACTTAAAAAAAATTAATTCCTGTTTATTTTTATTTCTACCATAAATGTTAGCAAAAATTGGTGTGTTGGAAAAAAACATAAATTAAGTGCTGATTTCCACAATAGCTATAAATAAGATCAAGCTCATTTTAAAAAGTGTTCATAGTTAAGGTTGAATGAGTAATAATATATTAACATCATTTATATTTATAAGGCAAAATATTCCTCTTAAAATAATTAAAAACATTCTTTTGCTTTTGTAAATAGGCTAAGGAAAATTTTGGGGAATTACTATCTGATTATAATAAAAATAGGTAACATTTACCAGACAGCTATGTGCTTGTCCTTAAGTCAAACACTTTACATGGATCGCCTCCTTTCATCATCTCCATGACCCCATGCAAGAGGTCCCCAATGCACAGGTAGGAGAGGTAAGGCTCGGAGAGGGTGGCATGGCCAAGGCAACAAAGCAGTTGGAAGACAGAGGTGGATTCAAACACTCATCTGCCCGAATAGAGGGCTCATGCTCTTTACCACCATGTTATGTACCGTCTTCTAAAATCTCTAAGAAAAAACTTATACTGAATTTACCAATGCATACTGAAAACACTGAACTGAATTATAGATTAAGAATACACATAATACTCACCAGTGAGCAGCAAATGGACGACAGAGGTCTACATGAAAATTTTTTAGATCTTTAAATCTAATTGCTGCTTCAATATAAACAAAGAGTATCCAGAGGGACACTGTGGGCAAACACACTCCCCTTTCTGTGGGAAAGCAGCAAAGAGAAGTATCAGTGATACATTAACTAACAAAACAGATGGGTCATTTAGGAGACTGGTTCAACTACTGTAACTTTAAGACTTTCAAACTAATTAAAAAGCAGTTTTATCCAAACTGAAAGCTTTTAAATGACAAAAAGGTGATGGAATGTACAAACAAAAACAAAAGACAAACAATTTTGGGAGAAAATATGTATGAACAACATAGGTAAAATAAAGGAGATGCAGCCCTACCACACCAAGAGCTCCCATAAATCAATAAAAAGGCAACTGAAGAAAACAACTTGCAAGTCACAAAAGAAAAAATACAGACGCCTAAAAAACATTAATTTAGAAGGCAATCTGGCAGTGTAGTTTAGTTTAAAATACATATACCTTTGACTCAGAAAGTCTAATTCCAGGAATCTACGCTATAGAAATATAAAGGGCCCTGGGATAAATGTATAAGAATATTCACTGTATTATTCTTTGCGATGGCAAAAATATGGTAATAATTTAAATGTCTATCAATAGGGAACTGTTTAATTATGATAAATCTATACAAAGAAAAATAATGTGGCTTTCCAAAAGATAGTTTGTACTAACATGAAATGATATGAAAAAAACAACAAATTCTTAAGTAAGAACGAGTTACAGTACAAAGAAATGTTTCTGACACTTAAGCAGTGTTTGTGGCTTTCCAAAAGATAGTTTGTACTAACATGAAATGATATGAAAAAAACAACAAATTCTTAAGTAAGAACGAGTTACAGTACAAAGAAATGTTTCTGACACTTAAGCAGTGTTTGAATTTTTTTTTCTTAACTACCAGACCATTTTCCTTTTGTAATTAACAACAATTTTCAAGGGAGGAAAAAGCAACTTGCAACAAAATAAGTAAGATACAAAAAAATGGGATAATTTTCCTTGGTTTTTAGAATCTAAATCTGCCAGTCAGGTCCAACTCTGTCAGGACACGACTTAATGGGATATTTCATGAAGATAGATTACACAGGCATGAGGTCCAGAAATTCTGGAAAGAGATCCTTTGAGACTGTATGAGGCAAGCAAGTTACAGAAGAAAGAACAGGAGAGAAAGAACACTGCCCTGAGGGACTAACTGGCTTTATATTAAGGATCTTTGGGATGAAACAAAAGAAAAATCAAGCAATCTTGGAACTAGAAAGAAGATCATTTAGTCCAATTTCCTCATTTTATTGACAAGTAAAGTGAGGCCCAGAGTTTATACAAACTGGGTCCAAGTTCACCGAAAAATACTGAGTCTGCTTCTAAGAACCCAGGTCCCTTAGACCTTGTCTGTAGAGCAAGAAGACACTCGAAGCTCTGTGAAGGCAGCTAATGGCCTCAAAAAAAAAAAGGGTATTTCCACAATGTAGGAAGACAAACAGCAACCCTTAGGATAATGCATTTTCAAGTTTATATTCCCTAACTAAATATGATAACCATAGTTTTCATAAACTTACAGAAAAAAATAGAAAATGTGGACATTTCTATATAGAAATGTTTCTATATCCATCAAATAATAAAATAAAATCATGTTGAAAATATTTTGAACAAGTGAAACAGTCAAGTTGTACACAGTTTTGTATCCTATCTTTTCCCTCTTAATAGCAAGGGAAAAAAAGTTTATGATACCTTATCAATCTTTTGTGGCAATATATAATTTCATCAACCATTCCTAATATTTTGGGGAAAAATTTCATTTTTAACAACTGGAAGAGAAGTTAACCCCAAGTTTTGCAAATTGCACCCCTATTTGTTGGGCCCAATAAGAACACAAAGTTTGTTTTGTTTTGTTTTGTTTGAACACTAATCATTCCAAATGTAAACATACTTTACAATTTAGCTATTCCAACACGCATTTCTGAGCCTAGGGCTAAAGAGAGGCAGGTATAGTTTATGACATTAGCTTCACTGCTGCCCTGCAGGTCACCCACTGAACTCATTCCCAATAGGTTCTATTAATAGTTATATGAGTAGTTTTTTTCTGAACTACTAAGACATTATTAAAGTCATTTAGGGAATCATAGTTCATCAGAGTCAGAGATTATTTGAGCTAGAAAGCTCCCTTAGACATCATCCAGATAACTCCACCTCGATATGACAAAGAAAAAACTGAGACCTTGAAGGAGAATGACAAGTATAAATGGCAACTTACTAGAAACTGAAACCCAAGACAAGGAAATACAAGTAAAAACTGGTATCTGGAAAGATCACTTCATTAGAGGAAAGCAGATGAAGAAACTGTCATGCTAGCATATAAATCCAGTCAGGTATGAGAGTGCTAAAGATGGAGAAAACCATGCTCACAGTGGATGCTTTAAGTAACAGAGCTGAACCATTTTCTACAAAGGCAACCAACATCATCCTCTTAAAACTTCTGAAAAGAGGACGAATGTTGCCCTGGAGACATTTCATTACCAGTTGGTGCTCCGTAAATGGTCAAAATCCTCAGGCTGCAAATGCACCTAAGAATCAAGTTTCATGCAGCTTTTCAGACTAGTATAAGGATCTGGGAGTGAATCCTCACATCCCCATGTATCCCACATTCACACTTTCACAGTGGATTGGAGCTGTGAAAATATCTTAGTTTTAAATCGCAGAAGCATAGCTCTGAGAAGGGAGGTGTCTGCAGCTCCACTCAAGTCAGAACATATCAGAAATAGTACACTTTGGTTAAGAGAACCAGTATGGTGAAAGTGTTTAAAATAAAATACAAGGAAAGGCTGATGAAACCAGAGATGTGCCTACAGAAAAGAAGACTTGACAGGATATAGACAGTATCTTTAAATCTCTAAAGAAATGTTAACCTACATGGGTGGTTACACTCCTTCAGTGTAGTGCCAATGAGGGGTCCAATGTTTGGGCCTGAGAGGACAGTCTGCAGACCCTTGAAATCTGAAGGAAAGGTTTCATACATTCCCTTATATTTTTCTGGAGAAAACCTCTGTATAGCCTCTAAACAGCAAAGATATGTGGGGTCAGAAGTGTTAAGGAGGAAAATTCTGGCTCAGTATAAGGAAGAACTTTCACAGCTGCCCAAAAACAACAGTAGTAAGGTCCTTGTCACTGTAGGTTTTCAATCAGAGATTAAACCACCACATACTAGGGATGCTGCGGGGATTCTTTTACCAAATAAGGATTCAACTAAGGGACTTCTGCCATTCCTTTCCATGCTGAGACTTCAGGAACTTGTTTTCTAATTGGCACGTGGCTGCTGCCTTTAAGTCTACCGAAATAGAAATCACTTAAATGTAAACAAAACAAAATGGGTATCTTTGTGATGAGAGTTGGTAAATGAAATATCTACAATAGAGATGTCAAATCATAAAGGTAAACTTTTGATTCAATATTGAAAGAAGATAAAATATATTTTAAAGCTATAATCTATTTGGAAAAATCAATTTTAAAGTATTCTCCTTAAATTCAATTCTAAATAATTTATTCAAAGAAATTACCACATTAAAAAAAGTTTACATAAAAGATCTCCCTCCATTTAGGAAACTATTAAGACTTACCTGTGTGCCATACGTACTGAACCCATACATATGTGCTAGCAGCAAAAAAAAGCCATTGTATGGGGATGAACAGCAGACATATTATATTTGACGTGAATGCTACACAAACAAAAAATACTGAGAAGGCCTAAAAGGAAAAAAAATTAAAAATACATCTTAGAACTTGTTATTTTCAAACACAGATTATTAAAGAAGCCTGTTATTATTAAAAGACAAAATCTCCAAAACTGCCTTGCAGTAACTACAGACTATCAAGTGATAAAAGGATGTTTTAAACATTTAAAATCAACCATATAAAAAGCAGTGGTTAATTTCACAAAAAAAAGTAATCCTATTTATGGCTTCAAATCATGAAGAGGTGGACCAGAACAAATTGAGGTTGATTCATGGAGAGTTCATTTGGACTCCACAGGTGGGTTACCTAAAGGAACTAGAATTTTAACACAGAAAAGGCTCCACTCTCCTCACAAAACTTTCCTAAAGAGCCTCATTCTTAAAGGACAGGCTGTTGGAGCACAGATGAACCACAAGAGTAGTAAGAATTATGCTGGTGTTAATAACTTTAATGATGCAGGCTTCCTCGGGGCACACTGCTATCTATGGACATGGGGACATGAGCTCGAAACCATCTTTTCAAGGCATGGATTTGCTCTGCCCGAAGCACCAGTCTGAGTAGAAGAGTTACAGATTTAAGATGTGGCTGTGGAACACAACAGAACTACAGATCAACCGAAGGAACAAGCCCAGGCCTGTGCCCTTGCTCTAACCTAGTAGCTCTCAGAACATGGTATGGGGATCCCTGGGGGCCTCTGAGCTCCTTTCAGGCATCTTACAGGTCAAAACTATTTTCACAATAATATGATGTTATCTGCCTTTCTCATACTCATTCAGCTCAGGAGTACGGTGGCACTTTCTAGAAGCTATATGATAATGTGATATTCCCACTGAGTTCAGAAGCAGATATGAAAATCCAGCTGTCTTCCATTAAGTCAGACATTAGAGAGATTTGCAAAAATGTAGCCAATCTTCTAATTTTTTTGTTTTGGAAGATAGTTATTTTTCATTTAAAAATGTTATTTGTATTAACATGTAGTAGGTTTATTGTTATTATTTTTAATCAATAAGGATTTAAGTTTATTTTCAGTTTTAATTTCTAATACAGTAAATATGGTAGATATAATCCATATAAACAAAAGCTCTTTGGAGTAGTCCTCAATAATTTTTAAGAGTGTAAAGGGGCTATGAGACAAAAACGTTTGAGAATCACTCTCTAAACTCTAAACCAATTGCTAACATAGAGACAGAGGCCCCACAAATATTTCAGAGTAAGACTAGGTGATTATTCCTTCCTCCCTGCTCTGTCTCCCTCCCCTTCTTTTCACTGGAATGGTGAACAGGAGGGAACATAAAAATTTGATCAGTGGTTTTTGACAAAAATAGTCTTCGAGGCCAGGTTCAGTCCATAGACTCTATTATCTATTAGCTCAGTAAGTCACCTAAGTATTGTTAATAAAATCTACTTTAAACAATTTCATTATCATTTATTGAAGATTTTCTTAGAAAATAAATCCTTTATACTTGAAAAACATATATTAATAGACATACCAGTCCCTGGTATCTGAAGGAATCATAGACACTTCTGATGAAAAGCCAAAATGGCCACAGGTATTCAAATCTGAACTCCAGGACAAAATCTGCCAGGAGGACAAGTGCCCACACTACCAGGAATTTCAGATATAAAAATGTACTGCAAAATATAAAAATAAGGAATTAATTCAAGGTCATTGGTGAAGAGCTAGAAAAAGAAAATAAACTTTTGTCTACAAGAGACAAAAACCATCTTCATATACCATGATAACAATGGAGATAAAGGAGAAAAGAGATGCTGCCATGACCCGTCTAAATTTTAAAGGCTAAAAAAGGATCTGGTGTTCATTCTGAGACCCACAACTATCAAAATAAGATGATGACCAAAAATGCTTAATCCCATTTAAGAAGAAAAAAAAAACATTTAAATCTCACCACTATTTAAAAATGTGCTAAGTGTCTGACTTCAAAATACTGCAACACTCTCAAAATTACAGCTTTCAAGCTGTTCTTCATTAGAAGAAAATGTCACATTTGAAAGGCTTCAAATTTGCTGTTTCCCCACCCCTCTACATCTGTTTGAAGAGTCTTTGAAATTCTTGATGCATCTCTCTACATGTTTGGAAGAATTCTGTATTTTCCCCCTTTCTCCTCTTGCCTCTCTATGTAGTATTCATCTGCATTAACCAAACAAAACCAAATGACTTCCCAAAATACACAGAAACTAACTTAGGGAGCAGATGCCAATTACTACTCAGGGCTATGAGGGCACAAACATGTACATTAAAGAAAAAATCCTACAGCATCCCAGCCTTGCTTCAGCCAAGATAAAAATATGTACTCCCAGTTTCCTCTGGACTTAACGATAAACAGAAACACACTTTGACAAGCCCGGTCACAACATGTATCTAACCACTGCAGTAGCTCAAAACAATGTAAGGACATAGACTTTTAAAAATTATTATTTTTCATATAATCTAAAGTCCATTCTTCCAGTTCATTTGTTATATAAAAAATATAAGACTTCAGATTCTACCTGTTAATAAGCCCCTAAGTCTGTATGTCCTTAAACCAGTCAATTCTGGAGCAATTCCAATGTCCTTAACCTCTCCACCAATCCTGGAGTTAAACTTAAGTATTTAAAAATATATTTAAAATTTTTAATAATTTATATTTATATAACATATAAATCATATACACAACATTTACAATTTAAATAACATATCTATAGAATAAAATATAATATATTTTCTAAGATCTACAGACTGTAAATACCTAAAATTCACTTTGATTTGGTCTAGAGCCTTGCCTGATATTTTCCAACACAAACATTCCAATACTGATGTTGTAAATTAGTTGAGTATAAACCAACAACAAAATCAAGACATGTAATAAATAATTTCAAAATATATTAAAGTAAGTTTCAAAAAGACTTATATACTTGGTGGGGAGGCGGGAGTGCTAACAAAAGCAGGATCCAGCTTTGAGGATTTTTCCTGTGCCCTCTGAAGCCACACAGGTAAAAGATGTCAAGAGCAGACACATATGACCATCAATGATGCAGTTTCATAATGATACAAAATCTGCGACTAGGGCCAATTTCTAACGCTAATTTTTGGTAGAACTTTTTGAGCTCTTTTAGAGGACTGCTGTGGAATCTAGAAACCCAAGGCAAACCAAAAGAACACAGGCTTGAATCCTAAGTTTTTTGGTTTTCATTTCACTAGAGACACGTTAGCCAGTTGAGGACAGGATCCTCATTCTCACTCATTAATCCATCACTGATTCAGTGGAGGGCATTTAATATTTTATTAAAAGGAAGAACTTAACCATGTAGGCATTCATTCACAAGCACAAAACTAATCTAAAACTAGATTTCCAAGCTGCTTGGCTTTAAAACTAAAGGTTTTCCTCCTGATTTTAAAATTGTTTCTAGGTCTTAAAGAAGAAGTAACAGCCTCTCGTCCAGTTTCTAAGGCATTTAAGAAATGGCATGCAAATGTACTTCCTTCTCTGATGAACACTTTCTCCCACGGGGCCGTCTCTGGAATGTAACTAAATGAGACATGGTGGGTCCCTCCTCCAGTCATCACCATTCTCCAGGTGGAGAAGGTAGAGTACTGCCAACTACTTACCAAATGCTCCCAAAGCACTGCAGAATCCCAGTCTAGCCAACAACATTCCATTTCACTATTTAGATAGCATTATCTAATGAATGGCAGCCTGTTGAATACTTTTTAAGAGCTCAGTCATTTAAACGTAAGGCAATACAAAATGATCATCTTTGTTCCAGCGACTACTCTTCTTCAATTCTGTAACTTTAAGGGAGTTGTTTTTCATGTATATCTTTTCACACAACTGCTTTCATACCACTGATGTTTATTGACACCCAGTTCTTACTGAGTTACAGTTAAGAAGTACAGGTATCTAAGGAAATATTTCACAAACATATGCCATCCCCCAACTTTCCTTGGGCTCTCTTTTTAGGTGGGCCTGCCTTTAAAATCAAGAGGCAATCTAATTAATAAAATTGATTTTACTCTAGTAAATCTAGTAAATTTTAGTCTTGAATTATATTGATTCATTTCAGTCTTATGGGGTTTTATAAAATTTAGGACAACTGCCTGATTCAGTATTCCCTAGCCCTCTATATCAATAAATTATGCCTCTTGTCCTTCTTTCAGTACATGTACCAAAGTTAAAAGACAAGTAATCTAAAATGACTGCTTATCAGTGTAGAAACCCTAATTCCTCTCCTTCCTGTTCTAAAGGTCGTTAAGATTTTGCCAAATCCAAAAGACGACATTTTAAAGGGGGAGAAAATCAAACCATTATGGCATTCCAAATATCTTTTAAACCATGAAGAAATTCTGATTAAATATAAAATATTTTTATACATATGGTTCATAATGACTTATGGCTAACTTGATGTTACTTTAACTTTCTGGTCCAAATATATTTACTTATAACTACAGAGTATCTTGAACAAAAATTTAAAGCATAACTAAAACAAAAAGGTATTTTTCATAATAATATATTGAAACTAGGGCAGACTACAAAGCCTTTGGATGGTCCTGTATGCTTCTATTCTGAGTGCCACTTATGAAATAAAGAAGAGACATGTGCAATCATTAGGCTTAATGGTGCAGATTCTTTCAAAGTGGTTATTAACCAGATTCTTTTTGTCCCCCATTCTATTCTTACCTTTGCCATTTATAAACATTTTTTACCTGACTCTAATTAGCAATACCCTCCATGAGTAGATTAATCATCTATGATTAAGGAGAAGTAGTACTGAACATTCTTCTTTTTCCAAGCAGACTTTCTCTCTAGTATCTCTAGCTGTCTGTAAAATGGAGCCCACATAATTACCACAGGGTGGCCATCAATCCTCAGTATGTGACCTTTCTCTAGGCACACGAATGGCCATTTAGTTTACTTGGTCCTCACCACAGAAATAACTGCGGAATATCTCCCTGGTTGTGCTAGTGGCCATCTATCTCAATCCCTCGCTTCCCTGTCCTCTCTGTAATAACACCTGAGCTGCTTTTAGCTTTAGTATGTAGCATGATACTTTTTGGACTTCAGGTAATAGTACTTTTATCAAAGTACACACTTTTATCAAAGTACACACAGTGAAGACAGAGGGAGATGTGATGCACAGGTGACTGGGAAAGGTGTCTGAACAAAGCAACATCAGCAAAGATAACACACAGAGCTTCTGCCTGAAGATTACCATGCACCTGCTCTCAATCTGTTGTGCCTGTTCTTCACTCGGAAGAAATGAGTCTAATCAGCTTTGCTCTGGGTGCCAGACTATCACTCCATTTGGCCTACCTGCTACTAGCTCTGACTACAGTGGGGATTCTCAAAGTGTCTTCTATTAAGCCTGACATTAAAGAAATCTGCAAAAATGTAAAACCACATCATTCTTCTCATGGATCTATTATTGTTATTTTTATATGAAATACGAGGTATTTAAAATTTGTCTTAATTTCTAATACAGTAAATACCAACAGATATAATCCATACAAACTAGAGCTCTTTGGGATTCTCAATCATTTTGAAGAGTGTAAAGAGTCCTGAAACAAAAAAATTTGAGAAATGGTGAACTACACAAATCACGCATGAGCCTCAAGATAAAATGGACTAGAACCACTACTATGTTCTGCAACCACATCCCTTTGGAAAATCCAGAAAAGGGGAGCAGCCTGAGAAGACCTACTTGAATCATATTTCTCTTTTCTATTCTAGGCCTCCTGCAGACTACAAAGAGAACCTTTCTAAAGTTAATTACACACACACATACACATTCATACATATATACATACACATCCACAGCAATGACAACACTAACAGTGTGAAATATGCCCAGTTAAAAGGGAAAAAAATCTAAAATGGAAATCACTAAAAAAGCTTTTAAGAAGTAAGTGGCTTAGTAATTTTATAAACAACTATACAGATTAAGGAGATATCAGGGACAGACAATACAACTTAATTTAACTGGAGAACTTAGTTTTAGAAATTCTGCTTCAAAAACACTGATGGGTTTGTTATTATTTTTAATCAATAAGGATTTAAGTTTATTTTCAGTTTTAATTTCTAATACAGTAAATATGGTAGATATAATCCATATAAACAAAAGCTCTTTGGAGTAGTCCTCAATAATTTTTAAGAGTGTAAAGGGGCTATGAGACAAAAACGTTTGAGAATCACTCTCTAAACTCTAAACCAATTGCTAACATAGAGACAGAGGCCCCACAAATATTTCAGAGTAAGACTAGGTGATTATTCCTTCCTCCCTGCTCTGTCTCCCTCCCCTTCTTTTCACTGGAATGGTGAACAGGAGGGAACATAAAAATTTGATCAGTGGTTTTTGACAAAAATAGTCTTCGAGGCCAGGTTCAGTCCATAGACTCTATTATCTATTAGCTCAGTAAGTCACCTAAGTATTGTTAATAAAATCTACTTTAAACAATTTCATTATCATTTATTGAAGATTTTCTTAGAAAATAAATCCTTTATACTTGAAAAACATATATTAATAGACATACCAGTCCCTGGTATCTGAAGGAATCATAGACACTTCTGATGAAAAGCCAAAATGGCCACAGGTATTCAAATCTGAACTCCAGGACAAAATCTGCCAGGAGGACAAGTGCCCACACTACCAGGAATTTCAGATATAAAAATGTACTGCAAAATATAAAAATAAGGAATTAATTCAAGGTCATTGGTGAAGAGCTAGAAAAAGAAAATAAACTTTTGTCTACAAGAGACAAAAACCATCTTCATATACCATGATAACAATGGAGATAAAGGAGAAAAGAGATGCTGCCATGACCCGTCTAAATTTTAAAGGCTAAAAAAGGATCTGGTGTTCATTCTGAGACCCACAACTATCAAAATAAGATGATGACCAAAAATGCTTAATCCCATTTAAGAAGAAAAAAAAAACATTTAAATCTCACCACTATTTAAAAATGTGCTAAGTGTCTGACTTCAAAATACTGCAACACTCTCAAAATTACAGCTTTCAAGCTGTTCTTCATTAGAAGAAAATGTCACATTTGAAAGGCTTCAAATTTGCTGTTTCCCCACCCCTCTACATCTGTTTGAAGAGTCTTTGAAATTCTTGATGCATCTCTCTACATGTTTGGAAGAATTCTGTATTTTCCCCCTTTCTCCTCTTGCCTCTCTATGTAGTATTCATCTGCATTAACCAAACAAAACCAAATGACTTCCCAAAATACACAGAAACTAACTTAGGGAGCAGATGCCAATTACTACTCAGGGCTATGAGGGCACAAACATGTACATTAAAGAAAAAATCCTACAGCATCCCAGCCTTGCTTCAGCCAAGATAAAAATATGTACTCCCAGTTTCCTCTGGACTTAACGATAAACAGAAACACACTTTGACAAGCCCGGTCACAACATGTATCTAACCACTGCAGTAGCTCAAAACAATGTAAGGACATAGACTTTTAAAAATTATTATTTTTCATATAATCTAAAGTCCATTCTTCCAGTTCATTTGTTATATAAAAAATATAAGACTTCAGATTCTACCTGTTAATAAGCCCCTAAGTCTGTATGTCCTTAAACCAGTCAATTCTGGAGCAATTCCAATGTCCTTAACCTCTCCACCAATCCTGGAGTTAAACTTAAGTATTTAAAAATATATTTAAAATTTTTAATAATTTATATTTATATAACATATAAATCATATACACAACATTTACAATTTAAATAACATATCTATAGAATAAAATATAATATATTTTCTAAGATCTACAGACTGTAAATACCTAAAATTCACTTTGATTTGGTCTAGAGCCTTGCCTGATATTTTCCAACACAAACATTCCAATACTGATGTTGTAAATTAGTTGAGTATAAACCAACAACAAAATCAAGACATGTAATAAATAATTTCAAAATATATTAAAGTAAGTTTCAAAAAGACTTATATACTTGGTGGGGAGGCGGGAGTGCTAACAAAAGCAGGATCCAGCTTTGAGGATTTTTCCTGTGCCCTCTGAAGCCACACAGGTAAAAGATGTCAAGAGCAGACACATATGACCATCAATGATGCAGTTTCATAATGATACAAAATCTGCGACTAGGGCCAATTTCTAACGCTAATTTTTGGTAGAACTTTTTGAGCTCTTTTAGAGGACTGCTGTGGAATCTAGAAACCCAAGGCAAACCAAAAGAACACAGGCTTGAATCCTAAGTTTTTTGGTTTTCATTTCACTAGAGACACGTTAGCCAGTTGAGGACAGGATCCTCATTCTCACTCATTAATCCATCACTGATTCAGTGGAGGGCATTTAATATTTTATTAAAAGGAAGAACTTAACCATGTAGGCATTCATTCACAAGCACAAAACTAATCTAAAACTAGATTTCCAAGCTGCTTGGCTTTAAAACTAAAGGTTTTCCTCCTGATTTTAAAATTGTTTCTAGGTCTTAAAGAAGAAGTAACAGCCTCTCGTCCAGTTTCTAAGGCATTTAAGAAATGGCATGCAAATGTACTTCCTTCTCTGATGAACACTTTCTCCCACGGGGCCGTCTCTGGAATGTAACTAAATGAGACATGGTGGGTCCCTCCTCCAGTCATCACCATTCTCCAGGTGGAGAAGGTAGAGTACTGCCAACTACTTACCAAATGCTCCCAAAGCACTGCAGAATCCCAGTCTAGCCAACAACATTCCATTTCACTATTTAGATAGCATTATCTAATGAATGGCAGCCTGTTGAATACTTTTTAAGAGCTCAGTCATTTAAACGTAAGGCAATACAAAATGATCATCTTTGTTCCAGCGACTACTCTTCTTCAATTCTGTAACTTTAAGGGAGTTGTTTTTCATGTATATCTTTTCACACAACTGCTTTCATACCACTGATGTTTATTGACACCCAGTTCTTACTGAGTTACAGTTAAGAAGTACAGGTATCTAAGGAAATATTTCACAAACATATGCCATCCCCCAACTTTCCTTGGGCTCTCTTTTTAGGTGGGCCTGCCTTTAAAATCAAGAGGCAATCTAATTAATAAAATTGATTTTACTCTAGTAAATCTAGTAAATTTTAGTCTTGAATTATATTGATTCATTTCAGTCTTATGGGGTTTTATAAAATTTAGGACAACTGCCTGATTCAGTATTCCCTAGCCCTCTATATCAATAAATTATGCCTCTTGTCCTTCTTTCAGTACATGTACCAAAGTTAAAAGACAAGTAATCTAAAATGACTGCTTATCAGTGTAGAAACCCTAATTCCTCTCCTTCCTGTTCTAAAGGTCGTTAAGATTTTGCCAAATCCAAAAGACGACATTTTAAAGGGGGAGAAAATCAAACCATTATGGCATTCCAAATATCTTTTAAACCATGAAGAAATTCTGATTAAATATAAAATATTTTTATACATATGGTTCATAATGACTTATGGCTAACTTGATGTTACTTTAACTTTCTGGTCCAAATATATTTACTTATAACTACAGAGTATCTTGAACAAAAATTTAAAGCATAACTAAAACAAAAAGGTATTTTTCATAATAATATATTGAAACTAGGGCAGACTACAAAGCCTTTGGATGGTCCTGTATGCTTCTATTCTGAGTGCCACTTATGAAATAAAGAAGAGACATGTGCAATCATTAGGCTTAATGGTGCAGATTCTTTCAAAGTGGTTATTAACCAGATTCTTTTTGTCCCCCATTCTATTCTTACCTTTGCCATTTATAAACATTTTTTACCTGACTCTAATTAGCAATACCCTCCATGAGTAGATTAATCATCTATGATTAAGGAGAAGTAGTACTGAACATTCTTCTTTTTCCAAGCAGACTTTCTCTCTAGTATCTCTAGCTGTCTGTAAAATGGAGCCCACATAATTACCACAGGGTGGCCATCAATCCTCAGTATGTGACCTTTCTCTAGGCACACGAATGGCCATTTAGTTTACTTGGTCCTCACCACAGAAATAACTGCGGAATATCTCCCTGGTTGTGCTAGTGGCCATCTATCTCAATCCCTCGCTTCCCTGTCCTCTCTGTAATAACACCTGAGCTGCTTTTAGCTTTAGTATGTAGCATGATACTTTTTGGACTTCAGGTAATAGTACTTTTATCAAAGTACACACTTTTATCAAAGTACACACAGTGAAGACAGAGGGAGATGTGATGCACAGGTGACTGGGAAAGGTGTCTGAACAAAGCAACATCAGCAAAGATAACACACAGAGCTTCTGCCTGAAGATTACCATGCACCTGCTCTCAATCTGTTGTGCCTGTTCTTCACTCGGAAGAAATGAGTCTAATCAGCTTTGCTCTGGGTGCCAGACTATCACTCCATTTGGCCTACCTGCTACTAGCTCTGACTACAGTGGGGATTCTCAAAGTGTCTTCTATTAAGCCTGACATTAAAGAAATCTGCAAAAATGTAAAACCACATCATTCTTCTCATGGATCTATTATTGTTATTTTTATATGAAATACGAGGTATTTAAAATTTGTCTTAATTTCTAATACAGTAAATACCAACAGATATAATCCATACAAACTAGAGCTCTTTGGGATTCTCAATCATTTTGAAGAGTGTAAAGAGTCCTGAAACAAAAAAATTTGAGAAATGGTGAACTACACAAATCACGCATGAGCCTCAAGATAAAATGGACTAGAACCACTACTATGTTCTGCAACCACATCCCTTTGGAAAATCCAGAAAAGGGGAGCAGCCTGAGAAGACCTACTTGAATCATATTTCTCTTTTCTATTCTAGGCCTCCTGCAGACTACAAAGAGAACCTTTCTAAAGTTAATTACACACACACATACACATTCATACATATATACATACACATCCACAGCAATGACAACACTAACTGTGAAATATGCCCAGTTAAAAGGGAAAAAAATCTAAAATGGAAATCACTAAAAAAGCTTTTAAGAAGTAAGTGGCTTAGTAATTTTATAAACAACTATACAGATTAAGGAGATATCAGGGACAGACAATACAACTTAATTTAACTGGAGAACTTAGTTTTAGAAATTCTGCTTCAAAAACACTGATGGGTGAAGAAGCACATTAGGAGAAAGAAAACCAAAGGCCCTAAGAAAGTATGTTAATAGTGTATAAACATTAGAAATTCATTTCATTAACGAATCAAGTATTACACTTCATATCTTCAATAATAGTAATCATCTACCTAATCACACCCTACCTTTATATCACATTTGTAACTTTTCCAAGTACTTTCATATTAATTACCTCAATTTTTCCTTACAACTGTGAAAAAGGCAAGGCAGTTATTACCATTTTATAGGCAAGAAACCTGAGGAACAGGGAACTAATAGGCTGCAGGGCACTGTTGAAAGAGCACAGAAATGTGAGTTAGAAGACTCCAGAAAAGAGAGTGAATTCTACATGGACAAGAAATGGTCAAGAGATTAAGTGAGGAGAAAAGCCAAGAAACTTTTGTGTAAAATAGAATCTTATTTTTGTTAAGAAAGAAAGACACATATTTGTTTCTATAGACAAAATGGAGCTATACTTATAATTTATAACAGTGACCATCCCAGAGCAGGAGTACTAAGGTCTATTACATTATACTGATACATTGCCATACTGCTTTAATTTTTTTTTAAGGCATGTGTTACTTTTATTTTTTAACTTCATTTTGAAATAA